CCCCCCCCCCCCCCCCAAACAATCAGACTAGAACGAGTGGCGATAAAAATGTATCTCTAGATCTTGTAAACACTCAGCGAAATGCACCTAGTGACCATATTCAATGTGCCATCACTTAATTGCTTTCTCGATTTCATTAATTGACGATAGTAATTGCAGTAAACAAGGAAGAGGAAATGCTGAAGACAAAACAATGTCGGGTCTTTGTGTGACTTTCTCCCTAAACACTTATGTTGCTGTCAAAGAAAAAGGAGCCAAGATAGCGATCATTTAACGTTTGATACACAATGTTCATTAATGTCATAATTTTGGCGATTTATTGAAACCACATTTGTACAGAGTAGGTTAGCATAAGTTAAGCAACAACCAGTATGAAGAACAACTCCCTTTTTAAATGAGGCAAGACACCCTCTTCACACTGATTATAACCTTGAGAAAGACATTATGCAACAAGGCAAAGGAGTTATGCAAAGTTCTTTCAACTTGTGTGTGAATACAACACATTCTTTGTCGCTTTTACAAGACAATGGAGGCGAGCAAGCGGAATAATTACAATATACAATAAAAAGGAAATAAGTTTAGAAAGCTTACTTCGGGTCAGCCCTTTGCTTGTTCGAAGGAAAGAGATAGATATCGCGCCGCGACTCCCTTTATTAAACCTTCGTGTGTTTGTGTAAAAGTGTGAAAGACAGGCAACGGTCTTGAGTCGCTGTTGATATTGTTCGCGATTAATATTGAAGTATACCTCCTTCGCCTGCATGTAAACGTGTTACTTTTCCCTATGTGCACTATATTTCTTTTAGGTGGTTGAGACAAGGCGATGAGATCGATAAAAGTAAAGGTTAATCTAAACAATTAGATGTGATTTTTGTGAAATGTTTAAATTCTTGAATTTCTCATTTTTAAAATCTTTCATACACGGTCGCATCTTTGTATTACTCTCAGGCCATACTCTTCGATATTATTGTGTTACACGGGACTCCTGGAAACCTGAATCACAGGGCATTGTGAAACTTAATTCACTACGGAGTCTTGTTATCCTTCATGCAGTTTTATAGCTGGGATGAACACTGTGAAGTAGAAACAGGCTCTACTTAGCTTTACTTAATATACGACAGTTTAAACAAAACCAGTCTGCAAGGCTTGCTTTGATTTGGCATTAACCTGACACTGGTTTTGAAAGAACAAATATAAATATGTTGGATGGATTAAATCACCAACTTCGTTACAATTTAACTAAATGTGTTCATTTACACAGTAACACAGATAATATTTATAAGTTGTCTGTCGTTCAGCACGCATTATAGGTGAGTAGCTAAACAGTGACGATGATCACAGTAATTGTATAGGCATCGTTTAAGCTTGTTCGTGAGATAATAACAGTCGCATTTAACAATAGATAGCAAGCTATAGTAAGACCCCCTCCTCTTCAACTGATGATTTACACTGTTAATTGACCGTACTTTCATATATTGTATGATCACACAGTCAGACTTTCCCCGGTTGCACGTTGGAGTTAGATTGTCCTTGTGGCTCTGTCAATGCACCTCATTTAATTTCAATATTATAATATAAGTATAGTATAAATAATATATTCTTTCCTTATTCCTCATTCATTATCATTCATGTTTTATAAATACTTGAATGCAGTACGCTTATAAATAAATTATACATTTATAAATTAATGCAATAAGAATTTTTGAGACAGATTGATGCTGACGCTCATGCATGTCAATCAAACAAACAATACAATTTTTGACTGCGGAAATTTCATATTGGATGAAATAACTGATAACAAATTTAACTAGCAGTTTGTAAGCAACACAAAAATCATAATCAGCTGCGCGTGCACTAGTGAACAAAAGGACAGTTCGCTACGCGTGGCACGCGTTAGCATGGGTTCTAACCTCTTAAAGCTATAATCCTATCGCCGCAACAAACAATGGGGACCTCCTGGCTGACGTATCCTGCTGTTAATTACACCTAGTTACAGCGGATTGTCTTGTCACGCTGGACCACAGAAACCGGCGTCATGGGGTTCACTCGTCTTAAGTATTGTTATTCCACCTAAGCTATTGTGTTTGTGTGTTCGAATTTTGAAGGGATTTATATGGCCCTCAATTGTTTGTCCGCCCCTTCTATTCACAAGATAGGGATTAAAATATTTCGAACGTTGTTATACCGGTGTACACCGGAAACAAAATTATTACTGCCACTGTACAGTGAGAACACTAACGTGCACTGTAATCATAACGAACACAAGTAAAAAGAGTAAAAAACATAGCCGTACACAGTCACCACAATATATACAAAAACATTCAGTAACAATACAAAATAGACATACGAAACAGAAAATAAACAGACACATAGATATATAGTGAACATCATCATGATGCAGAGTAATAGTAATGATTATAAACAAATAGAGTGACAAAACTAACAGACAAAGTGCTCATAATAAATACAAACACAAACAGTGACAACACAAACATGCACAGTAATCAAATAAAATACAAACACAGTTAAAATACAGACATACACAGTAATCAGAATAAATTTTTGACATGTACAACGACAATAGTAATGTACATCGTAAAAAGAAAGAAAACAAGGAAAAAAATTAAAAACATAGCAGTACACAGTCATCGCAATATATACAAACACATTCAGTAACAATACAGAATAGACACAGAAAACATAAGATAAACAGATATACAGGCATACAGTGTCAACACCATCATGAAGAGTAATAGTAATGATTAGAAACAGAGTGACAAAACTGACATACACAGTGATCACAATAAATACAAACAACAAAATTTACAACACCAACAAACACAGTAATCAAAATAAATACAAACAGTCACAAAACAGACATACACAGTGATTAGAAAAACATTTCACATGT